ACCCCAAAACACTCAGTCATCACCTGACACGTCAGGACTTAGAACTTCTGGGGCAGCAGAGACTTTAGTTTCTTCCCCTGAACTAGAGATGTTATTTTCAAACCAGCTTACTCATCACCTAAGGGAAGATCGGTTAATAGTTTACAACTATCAAGTATAAATTCTTTTGAACATTGTTATCTTTGGATTGGCATTTAGTATTTGGTCTTACCTATTTGGTGTAATATAATTTGATACATGCACATAATGCCTCACGATCAATTCAAGGTGATCCATGTTTCTATTTTCTGAAATATTTATCATTTTGGACCCTTCAAATTCTTCTCTTCTAGTTTTCTTTTTTCTTTCTAGGTACCAGGGTATGAACTCAAGGGCCTTGTACTTGCTCAGTTTGTTTGCTTGGCTAGTGCTCTATGACTTGAACCACACCTCTAGCCTGACTTTTGGCTGTTTGTTTTAGACATAAAGTCTCACTGACTTTTCTGCCCAGGCTGCCATTGAACCATAATCCTCTGTGTCTCATGCTCCTCAGTAGCTAGGATTACAGGCATGAGCTACTCTCCCCAGGCTTTTACTTTGAAATATATAAGAACTATTGTACAATATACCCTAATATGCCATAGAATAGTAGAAGCACTTCTTCTTACTAACTACAAAAAAATGGATTCAAAGATCCCTTGGCCTAATGCTTCTAGGGAGCCTCTTGGAGCCAAAGAATAGCCATGTTGTTTTCACAACTTAAGAACCTGCAGGCTTCCTCATGGTCTGCTGTCTTGGCTAGTGCTCTTCTTTATCACGTGTACTGTTCCTCTCAATCAGCAGGAACAACCTTCCTGCTCCTCCCAGATCCTCCCCTCAGCAGGTCAACTCCCACTCATGTACATAGTTCCAGACCCTCGGCTCAAAGTTAAGGTGACTGAGATATGCTGAGGGTATTTCCACTAATCTTTAACAGTCGTCGTGAAAAATCCCACAAGGCATTAGTTACTCTTTTCCCTTTCTTGATAAATGCCCAAACAATGGTCTGGAGATAATTCCAGAAACAAAGAATCTACCTACCCACCCTGAACCAGAGCCCTGAAAAGGAGAGCAGCCAGACATTTCCAGACACCAACCCACCACTTCCCCTTTGAGCAGTGACATTTCCTTCCTTTTGTTTTTTAAATTAAAAAATTTGGGGGATGGAAATGTCAGCAAAATATGTCATGTCTACCTTCATCCCTGGGGGGTGGGAAGGTCAGAACTGGGCTTCAGTTCGGCTTGTTTCATTTGTTTGTTTGATGGGTTGAGTTTTCTGTATATGTCAGTGTCTGTATCTGCAAAATGGAGAGAGCTTTACTGGAATGTGTCAGTGATACAGATTGTGTAGTCACCAGCAATGACCCAGGGCAAGTGCTTGCTCATTAAGTGGAACCAAGTAGGCTCTGTTAAGACTTCCTTTTGTTCTGGCTTATGGGCCAAGACAAAGTGAACAACCATAGCTGTGAGGGGTTGCAGTATCTAGATCTCATTGATTTTTTTTGTCAGTCATGGGACTTGAACTTAGGGTCTGGATGCTGTCCCTGAGCTTATCTACTCAAGGCTAGTGCTCTACCACTTTGAGGCACAGCTCCACTTCTGGTTAACTGAAGATAAGTGTCTCATGGCCTTTCTTGCCTGGGCTAGCTTTGAACTACAATTCTCAGATCATAGCCTCCTGAGTAGCTAGGATTACAGGCATGTGCCACTAGTGCCTGGCTCGTTGATTTGTTTTGTTTTTTTTTTTGGTTGTTGTTGTAGTGGGAATTGAACTCAGAACTTTTGCACTTTCACTTGACTTTTTTGCAATCATAGCTGACTCTTTCTAGCACTAAAGCCATGGTTAATTGGAGATAAGAGTCCCTCAGATTTATCTGTCCAGCCTGGCTTCAATTCTCCCATCTCAGCCTCCTGTGTATCTAGAATTATAGGCATAACCACAGGAACCCAGTGGCCCCATTGATTTTTTTTTTTTTGGTTGGTCATGGGGCTTGAACTCTGGGCTTGGGCGCTGTCCCTGTGCTCTTCAGCTCAAGGTGAGTGCTCTACCGCTTGAGCCACAGCGCCACTTCTGGTTTTCTAGTGGTTTATTGGACATAAGAGTCTCACATACTTTCCTGCCTGGGCTGGCTTTGAACTACGATCCTCAGATCTCAGCCTCCTGAGTAGCTAGGATTACAGGTGTGAGCCACCGGCGCCCTGCTCCCCACTGATTTTTCAATACCCATGTCTGCTCTGCAGAACTGCCTGACTACTTTGTTCCTTACCAATCACGCTGCTGCAGGGCTATTCCATTTCATTCTCCCTCCTCATACTTACTGTGCATGGGCTTGTTACATAGACTTGCAAAGTGAGAATGTGGGGACTTGGAGGACACGTGGAAGGGCCTTTGTGGGAACTGGAAAAAGTTTTCCCATGTATTTGTTTGTTTGTTTGTTTGGGCTGTTCTGAGAAGCCTTTTGCTTTAGCCTTTGGGATGATTTTGGGATAATGCAGAGCTGTTCTCTGGCCTGCTTGGCTCTGTGTGTTATCCTTGGTAAAATGCTTACCATCCGTGCTGAGAACTTGGTATCAGAGAGAATCAAGATCAAGCTTAGATAAACTCAGCAAGGTTAGAGTGAGATTTAAGTTCCAAGTTCACTATCACTGAATTCACACTTTTCCTGGCTCCAAACAAAGCCAGAGGACTTTGAAGAACTGGATTAAATCCATGCCCACCAGGTAACTCTGCAATGGGATGCCAGCTGGACCAAGCCCCTTTCTAAAAGCTTTATAGCCTTGTCTTCCTGTTTACTGCTAAAAGATCAGAGACTTGGTGCACACCTAGGCTATGCACTGAATTAGTAGTTACATTTCTGTGCAACTTTGGGCAAGCTACTCCTCTACTCCAGACTGTTCTTTTGCTATCTTGGAAGCATCGGCTAATGCCATGATATACGAGGAGAGAATGGTTAAAAGGAGTAAGCATTGATGGTCAAGAAAGAACATGTAATTTGGCACCCACAGGTTCTGCATTCAAACTCAGCCTTCCCAATGTGATGCTTGGCATTCACACCTCAAGTTCTTAGTTCACAGAATGCAGAGAAAAACAAGAGAGGATGTGCATCAGAATAACTTGAGGAAAAGCAGAGGATTAACAGCTTGCTGTAACTTGAGTCAGCATCTGTTTTGGCTTAGGTAGGGCAGACCTAAAACAGCCATAGAATGCCAGATAGTTTCTATGATAAGATGACCCAGAGACATCTGCCCATCTGCTGTGGTGCTGGTAGATTCACCAGTAGAAAGGGGATAACAACTGCACAGTCTTCAGATGGAGTCGAAACATCCACTACCGGTGATTTCTTGGTAGAAGTAGGTACAGATTGGAAACATGAAGATCAAGACAATCTCAACAGACTTTCCCAGCCTCCAGGGACACACAGAATTATGCTGCTACTTGTAATACCCCAGTGTCTTCCCATGGCTTTCCAGTACATCTGAGCTTCTTGCACACGTATCTGTTCACAGTGGACCATTCTGATCTTGACCTCTCAAATAAAGCAAACTCAACCCCAGGCCTGGGTGTTCTCAGTCCAGCAGCCTGCCTCTTTGCTCCATGCATTTGCTTATGCTAGGTCCTAGCAACTTGGAAAAAATCTACAGTGCAGTGTCACCTCCCCTGAGAATTTGCTCCTCTGAGTACTCATTATCACCCATGCCCAGCTCTGTGATGGCAAGTATGGTTTTGTGTCCCTTGTCCCTAGTTACTGTCTGCATTTCTTTATGACTTAACTTGTTTATGCCTAGTATATTTCCATATTCTAAACACTTAAGCAATGTCTGTCAATGAGCCAAACCAAGCTTAATGACAATGTGTTACATAAATATTTTCTGTCCTGAGGACACCCCTCATTCATGGTACATAGGAATACAACAGCACATGCTTAGTGAACTGAACTGAGCCAATGTGAAATCTAGACCACATATCATTTCAGTGGGCCAGGGTCCTGAGGCCTGGAGTCCTGAGCAAAACCCAAAGCCAATGTTATTGCCCTTGTTTAAAAAAGAGATGCTCAGCTGGGCATTGATAGCTCATGCCTATAATCCTAGCTACTCCAGAGAGGCTGAGACCTGAGGATCACAGTTCGAAGCCAACCTGGGCAGGAAAATCTGTGAGCCTCTTATCTTCCATAAACTAATCAGAAAATGCTGGAAGTGGTGCTGTGACTCAAGTGGTAGAGTGCTAGCCTTGAGCACAAAGAGGCTCAGGGACAGAGCCCAGGCCCATAGTTCAAGCCTCAGGACTGGCAAGAGGGAGGAGGAGGAAGGAAGGGGGGGGGTCCTACTGTTAACCCTGGGCTCACTACTGGTCAGCCTAGATGATGAGATGCCTTTGCTGCCTGGACTTGCACATACTCCCACATCTTCTTGTTAAAACCAGCTATAGAATGCTGGAAGCTCCTGTGAAACCACATGGCCCTAGACTGTACCAATCCTCAGGTCTTATTCAAAAATCACTAAGGAATTCACACACAGTGAGACCAAAGGAGGATTCCCTTAGGAGAGGAACATAAAGGCGCAATGCCTTGATGCATCTGATCGTATAAAATAATATTTATCAAAACGAAAAAAAAAATCTCTAAGGAGGTCCTATGGAAAATTCAGTAAGTCTGCCTTTCTGTCTGTCACTGTCAGTCACTGATGATCTTGCCAAGGGATTATGTGTGGGGTCCTAACCCAATCAGCTATACTTTCTACAATTGTGATTTCAGATGTTTTCTCCCTGGCTGTCTCAGGTTCCGTCAGCACACTCCCTCAGGCTACAAAATCATGGGCTGAGAAGTTCCAGGCTCAGCGGTCCCATTCCTCACTGGGCTTGGGGCTGCTGACCCTCTGAGTATCAAGAAGTCTGGCTTCCGGTCCACCTTGTCCATAAGCACTGCCAGTCACACGGTTCATCTGGACGAAGAAAGCAGCACACTCCAAGTGAAGAAGCTTCTCACCTGACAGGGGCTCCCCGGGACTGGGCAGGTTTCAGCATCACAGTGATGGTTGTGTCTGTCTCGTTCAGTGGACTGTCCGTGTCATATTCAGGCATCGATGGAGCTGAGCAGGGAACAGAGATCAGAGGTGAGCTCACACAGGTCTCAAACTTTGTTCGCCTTGACGCCATCCTTATAGACTCTCCAGATGACCATAAAAGGGGTGGACAAGAACTTCTGGATATGAGGTTCTGACTTCCTATCTGCCTGTAGGTCTCTAAGAGCGCAGAAACCTGGAGAGGCTGGGGGTGAGGTGGTCATGGACTCTTGTGCATTAAAAATTTCCTCATCTCATGGAATAAAAAAAGATACACAGAGGAAATAGAAGTACTTAATAACGCTATGAAGGCAGAGTTCACTTTGGTAAATGCACTTGGCTATAAACTGAAGCAACGTGACTACAAATGTAGTCATTTGTATTATGAGCTATCAGGACACAGATCTCCTTTAATCACATTTTTCAATTTTGGAATTCAATCCTAAAGTTATAATCCCCATCAATGATTTAAAGTTTAGTTTGTAACATGTTTATTGAAGTGTTATTTTATAAAAAAAAAAAAAAAGCAACATGGAAGTACCAAATATATCCAACCACAGGGGAATATTTAATTAAATTACGTCCATTCACTTGACAGAACTTTGTAATGAAAGCAATGCAGCAACATGGGAGATGCCTATGGGATAAGGATAAGTGGAAACATTAAGCTACAGAAAACATCATGAGTCTTGCAAAAACACGTGCAAAATGTGTGTGCCTAGAAACTAAAATTGTACAGATATTCTAAAAACCGAAAGCGGGAAAGGAACATTCAGAGATCATTCTGTTCTGATGCCACCCCATGACAGAGAGCCCTATCAGTAAAGGGAGTTTGTTATTTTGGACCATTACGGAATGGTCTTCACTCATTCATTCATCCATTCATCAGATATTTTTTGAAGAACCTATGATGTGCCTGACACTGGACAAAAGAAAAGAAATTTACAAAACAATTTTGTTTTCTATCTATCCAAGTATCCACTGTCTGTCTGTCTGTCTGTCTATCTATCTATCTATCTATCTACTAGCTAGCTAACTAGATAGATAGCTATCATCTAGCTATCATCTTTCTTTGTATCTGTCACTGTCTCTGTCTCTGTCTCTGTCTTTCTCTCCTGTGGATGTGTTCACACTACTTAATGGAAACCTGTGGAGAATTATTTGGTGAGCTGCCATGTAATGAATCTAGTTTTTCAAACTTTAGGAAACTTATGGATTATATTTTCATCATGGGATCACAGCAGTAACCCTCTAGGGACTGAATCACTGACATTGGCATCAATCCACTACCTCACAAATGAATGACAGTTGGCTCTCCTCCTTTTATTCTCATCCAACTCCAGAGTAGATGGTGATGGGGGCAAGGGGAGACAGCCTTCCTTCCTTTTTATTCTCAAAGTCATACCTGAGATCTTGGTGGCAATCCGAGTGGTGACTGGAGGCCCAAAGCCCTTGGCTGTGCTGGCCTTGATGGTAAAGGAGTAGGTAGTTCCTGGGTAGAGACCCACAAAGAGGTGGTGGGTTTCATTCCGGAGTTTGAATACTTTGCCCCTTTGGCTGGTCAAGTCAGCAGTTGGGTCCAGTGAGCCCACAGCCTTGTAGTTGATCTGCAGGACAAGGTAACAAGCAAACACCTAAGTACCCCCATGATGAATGCTGGGTAGGGCTCACTGGGGAGGAAAGAAGAGGGCTTGGGAGCTGAATCAGTGAGTGTCATGGAGCAGGCTGCCACTGTCCAGCTTACGGATGAGCCTAGCTCTGGGCATTCCACTGCCGAAAACCACAGTGACCCCATCCCATCAAGAATCAAAATGTGAGCCCCAGGCATCATCTTAAATGTTCCAGTAGTCACATTAAAAATAATAATAGATCTTATTACATTCGATATATCCATAATACTATCATTTCAACCAGTGCGTTATTTAATGAAATAGTTCCCATTCTATTATTCATTTGAAGTCTTACAGCTCTGTTGTGTATTTAACCCTTATAGCAAACATCAGTTGAATCAGCCACATACCAAAAATGTGCTGTTCCCCAACTTGGGGCACACAAACACACTCTGGAGAGAGGGGTCCAAATGTGGCAGCCTGACATAAATTATGTAGAAGCTTTGCTAAAATGCAGATCATGCAAAATACTCTCTATGAATGTATGAACATTGAATAAGAAAATGCACTAAAATTTTTTAATAAAAGGAGGAGGGGGATAAGAGGCTAATAAAAATGTGAATTTGACCAAAGTACTTTATATGTTTTATGAAACTAGCACAAAGAAACTCTTTTTTTTTTTTTTGGTCCGGTCGTGGGGCCTGAACTCTGGGCCTGGGCACTGTCCCTCAGCTCTTCAGCTCAAGGCTAGCACTCTACCTCACAGCGCCACTTCTGGCTTTTTTTTTCCTTTTTGCTTATGTGGTGCTGAGGAATCGAACCCAGGGCCTCGAGCCACCTTCCCAGCCCAAGGGAACTCTTATGTACAATTAAGATATACTGATTTAAAAGAGAGATAGAAAGAGAGAGTAATGAGAGTAATGCCAGGCGCACTTGGCTCATGCCTAGATATGCAGGAGTCTTAGGTGGAGTCTACAGTGTGAAGCCAGCCTAAGCAGGAAAGTCCTTGAGATTCTTATCCAATTAACTAGTAAAAAGCTAGAAGAGGAGGCCTGGCTCATGTGGTAGAGCACCAGCCTTGAGGGAAAAAGTTAAGGGAGAATGCCCTGGCTCTGAATTTAAGCCCCAGTACGGGGCAGGATGGTGATATGTGTGAAGTGGGAGAATCAGGATAGTCATTCTCATTTTATTGAGGGAGTAGCTGAAACTTAATTGGAAACAACTTGTATTAAAGCAACACTTTTCTAACTACCAACCTATGGTGAAAGCCAAGTTTTGTGCTTTCTAATCTATTGCAGATAGGTGACAATCTAAGACCACATTTCCCATAACTTAGCCTATGAGTTCAGTAATAACCAACCTGTGATGCCATGAATTTGTCTTTTACTGTGACCCAGTGGTTTCAAGGTAGTGTCAAAGTATAAGAGTTTTCAAGTATCATTCATGTTTTATACTTACTCATCCATAAAAATATTTAACTGTTATTGGTGTGTGCTGCTTTCATGTATGACAATTTGAATATCACAAAGTTTAAATTTCTAGGAATTTTTTTTCTTGTCCTTCTTTTCCTTCCCTCCTTTATTCCCTCCCTCCCTCTTCTTTACAATGCTAGGTCAAACCCAGGGCCTTGTGCATGGTAAGCAAGTGTTCTTACCATTGAACTACATCCTTAAACCCTGATAGGAGATTTTGCTATTTGTCTTATTTCTTTTGTTCCTTTAAAATGTTTTTCTTTGCTGGGCGCCGGTGGCTCACGCCTGTAATCCTAGCTATTCCAGAGGCTGAGATCTGAGGATCATGGTTCAAAGCCAGCCCAGACAGGAAAGGCTGTGAGACTCTTATCTCCAATAAACCACTCAGAAAACCAGCAATGGTGCTGTGGCTCAAGCCATAGAGTGCTCGCTTTGAGCTGAAGAGCTGAGGGACAGTGCCCAGGCCCAGAGTTCAAACCCCATGACCAACCAAAAAAAAAAAAAGATTTTCTTTAACTTATGGATTCATGTATTGAATGAATTCAATAAACAGATAAGCAATGACATAATAGGCAATATAAACATAAATATTTTAGGTTTTTAAAGAGGAAATTCTTATTCATTAAGAATGAAATACTATTATTTTTCTAAAACATGGATATGGATTTCATACAACTTAATAAAATAAGCATGATGCTTAATAATGCAAAATTCACATAGAAGATAGTTAATACAATATTGCAACATTTTGATGTCTTGGGGGAGGTAAGAAGTACTCAAGTTAGTTTAAATATTCTTTTTAGAGAATTAAGCTTTATAAGGAAATATTTAAATTTGATATACAATAAACTATATCTTATCCAGGAAATAAAACTTTCTTCTTGAATCATTTTGTTGAATTACATTTACTTTTAGTGTTAGGTTTTAGTTATATACCTGAAAAGTTCTAATTCAAAAGATTTCAATTGTATAAATTAAGAAATCAGATCACAAATAGTCATTTGACTAATGCTAAAGTAAAATATACTTTCAAAATCCTCTGTTGATACCTTGAAGTCCCAGTTTTATGAGTAAAGTTATTCTAAAAGTTTCTCCTATTATTTTTGTGTTTATAATGAACATTAAAATGTTTTTATTCAAGTGTAACATTAATTCAAATACAGATGGCTCATGCCTGTAATCCAAGCTGCTTAGGATGCTGAGCTCTGAGGTTTGTGGTTAGAAGCCAGCCCAGGCAAAAAGTCTGAGACTGTTATCTCTAGTAAACCACCAAAAAAACGCCAGAAGTAGAGTTATGGCTCAAGTGGTACAGCACCAGCCTTGAGTGAAAAAGCAAACAGCATCCAAACCTTGAGTTCACCACAGTATTGGCACCAAATAATAATAACAACAACGACAATAATAATAATGATACATTCAGAGAAGCACCAGCTAGATGCAGGCTTTTGCAAAAGTAGTTGTGTAATCAAGATAGAGACCGCCCCCAGACCCAAGACTTGCCTCTTGTACCTCCTTCCCATCCTCTCTGCCTCCCTGAGAAAAAACCGCCTCTATTTCATTCTGAAGGCATGGACTAGTTTTGCCTGTTTTTGAACATGATGTAAATGGAATCCTACAGCATGTGCTCTCTCCTGCATGTCTTCCTTTTCACTTTCTGTTTGTGACATTAATCCACATTGTCACGTAGGTTGTAAATCACCCACTCCTGCACTTATTCAATAACCTATCCCCGACACTGGACTAAACGCAAGCCTGGACTTCAAAGCCTGGGCTTGCTACTCTATCCTACACTGCCTGACCTGCAGACATGGGTCATTAGCAAGAGAACACATTCATCCATCCCCTAGTTTGCTCTTTCTCTGTACTCCTCCATTCTGCTCTCAAATGTCTCCTATTCTAGAGACAGGACAGCCAGCTCTATAGATGCTCTATGTCATTTTAGTAAAAAATGCCTCATACTTACAGGACAGCCAAACAGACAATTCGTTCTTCCCAGTGGTGACGCCCAATGGGTGATTTCCCTCTCCTGTATTGAGCAGTGGTGATGTTGTGATTAGTGCCATGTACACAAGGAGAGATGCCAGACCTGGCCCAGGGCAGAGTGAATGCAAGAGGAGAAAGGCTAATGGACTCAGCCTGAATCAGAGGCAAGGTCTAGGGGTGGAAAGGTCTCCACCCCTCTATGCTTAACTATTTTCTGGCTAACGTCTCCCAGAGACTGGGCGAGAGAGGAGAGGGGGCTTCTGCTGCTTGAATCTCCCAGGCTCATTTCCCACAATCCTTTGAAGAATTTAGCACTACTTGCTACTCAAAGTAAAAATGCTTGAAAACACAACGATCATCAGCTACACCTCCCTTATTCTTTCCAATAACTTATTTCTTAAGAGCCTTAATTCTTCCCAGCACTCTAGTCAGCTTCAAATGCTTATGTTAGTATCTTCTGAGCAATGCCAAACCAAGTCAGAGAGCTCAGTATTTCTTTTAGGATAGAACAGAATGGATATATGAAGGATGGTAGTCGGAGCAGAAGAAAAAGCTTGCTCTTCCCTGCCCCGCCCTCTTCCCTCATCTGTTTTGGGCAGAGAGAGCCATCAGAGCAATGGCCTGAGGTGAGAAAGGACCAAGATGGAGGGCAAGAAGGGCAAGTGTGGTTGGATGCTGGTTTCCTAGCAACAGGAAAAGGGAGATGGTCAGAGTTGTGCTTGTGGTCCTGACCCCAGGCATACCAGTGGGAAAGGATGTGCCTCTGTCTGCATTCTCTCACAATATGGTCCCAGTCCCCCTGTCTGGGCTGATGGCATTACATTGATATACCGACACTGGGAGGTAAAACTCATGCCTTATTTACTAGCCAGCTCCTTTCCTACGCTCCAAATTCAATCCAAACGCGACTCAATTTCCACGGAGCTGTCAATATAATATACCGCTCTCCCCTGCTCTCCTAACCTTTCCTGGTATTACAGGATCCTCACTTGCTTGTAATGAAACACTATGAATAAATCAATGTATGTTAATATAGCGTGTCTTCAATTTTTTATGAAGGGCCTCACCAAATCTAATTCCCACTGCTTTGTCAGAAACAGTCTTTGAAAAATTTAACTTGCAAGTTTTACGAAGTTAGTGGGGGCTCAGGCTGGGGAGGGGAAGAAGAAGAAAGGTAAGGAAAATGGAATGGGATGACGTGGTGGCCGTACATGCATAATGCAACATGAATCTCTGGGCATGGAGCAAAGGGGAGACCTGTTAGAATAACACATACAAAATGAAAGTGGGGCCAGGTACTAGTGGTTCACATTTGTAATCCTAGCTACTCAGGAGGCTGAGACCTGAGGATCAAAGTTTGAAGCCAGTCTGGGCAGGAAAATCTATGAGACTTTCATCTCTAGTTAGCCACCAAAAAGCCAGACTGTGAATCAAGTGATAGAGTACCAACCTTAGGTGAGAAAGCTAACAGACAGTGCCCAGGCCTTGAGTTCAAGCCCTAGTACCTACATATAATACAGACTCACAAGCATACACACACAC